TTAAATAAAGTTATTTATTACACTCTCAAGTATATATATTTAAATTTTTATGTTATTTAAATAAATATTTATGGAGAAAATTAAAATGTCCAGTTTTTTTTGTTACACATTGTAATTTAGTAATATGTTTGATTTATATATTATAAGAAGAAAAAGTGATAGCATTATAATAATTTTTTGAAATTTTATAATAAATATAATTAGAAATATGTCATATATTAACAATAAAGTGAAAAATAACAGATTTTATTATTGAAATATCACATGAAAATATAAAAATAAATCTCAGGGGGAATTTTCATTATAGTTGAGTTTGAAAAGGATATTATATTCTTTTTATTGTGCAAAAGGTAATTACTTTTTGTAATTTATTTAATCTACGAATGATCAGCCGGTAACTATAGTTACCTTTCTTTTAATACATTAAATAGTCATTTCAATCTCCATTATTTATTTCGCTTCTTTATTATCTATTCGTTTCTCTATATCTACAGTATATGACCGAAAATAAAGAAACCTATTTTGATGATCGTCGTTCGAAATGGGGAAGTTTCTTATTTTGGTATCCAATTAAACGATAATTCTCATGATCAAAGGAACATTCGATTGGTCATACATGTAGTTGGATGGATCCCGAAGTTAAATAACATAGGAATACGCAAATTTTTGATCATCCTGGCAAAAATGAATATAACACTCATAAAATCTCTTATTTCGATACTTGTCATTTTTTTAAAAAACTCGGAGGTTTTCTATTTTCTGTCATATACGGTATTCGCTTCTCTATTATTTATCTTAAAGAGGAGAAAAAATATCAAAGCGGGACATGTTTCAATCGATTCCGGTTTGCTGTTACATGACTTCCCGCATCAAAAAATGGCCAGATGTGTATATGAGAAAGGTGTTGTTAAGCATTTTCTGCCAGCATAGTAAATCTCTGTTTATTCACATTCTGCCACTCTAAAGTATTTATTTTCTTCAATTGTGCCAACTCAAGATAACAAGCAAATTCGGTTCATTTTTTTTCTTCAGCAAACGAACTATAAAATGAACATAATTTTCGAGTATTATCGATGACTCTAATTGGAAAAAGGTTTTCCGTTAACATCATGTGTGAAAATCGTTTAATAATTTTTTAAAAATTATATTATATGTATGATATTGAACAAATAAAGAAAGGTTGCACATTTTTACAACTGAATTATTCTATCCTAAAAATAAATTTTATTATCAAAATGTTCTTTTTTAGGAGGTTGTTTACAGAGGGTTCTTTATAAAGTCCGAGCCATGGTGACATTTTGTCATAATAGTAGCTGACTCACATGCAAAAGCATCATGATTAATAACGAATTATGGTTATTTCAAACAGTTATAGTGTATTAAATGAGAAATTAAAAACGGAATCACGGTGAGATTTATAAATCTTGGACCCAATCTAACTGTCTGAGATAATTCGTGTGATTTACTATAATTTGTAATTAACCATGTGTAATTCTAGCCAATGACGAGAATTTAAAGCTAATGAAATAGGAGATTAGACATTTCCATTAATAGTTCATCTAATAATTTGTCTGTCCATGTTTATAAAAAAGAATTTTCATAGCAATAGTTGAAGAACGTCGGTTACTGGTTCAAGTAGAAAGGATTTGAGTTTGAACGGTGGCGTTATAAGAAGTGAAACAATTCTATATCATTTCCTTTAGAAGCTGTGTTCGATCCAAAACACTGATGCGGAGAGAAGGCACGCAAAGCATCGAGAGGTAGTTGACTCGTCCACGGACATCTGGATGCTCGAGATCATTCATTATCGAGCTGTCCCACGCTATGCTCAATTTTTTGGCTTCAGCGTATTGCCAAAATTAATAAGCGTTGTATAAGGTACCTCGACATGACAATGCTATGAGAAAGTAAAGTTTGGATCACGATGACATTTGTAGCTGCAGTTTTAGCCCATCAGTGAGAAGTTAAAGCTAATATAATAGGGTATTGGGCTTATTTGAATAGTTCGTCTAATAAGCTATTCATGTTGAAAGATAAAAAGTTTCTTTTTCATGGCGTTATTTATATACGAGAAGTTGACTCGGCTTTTAATCGGGACAAATATAAATATTATACTTTAAAAATTTTTTTTCATTTTTCCTTTTTAGTATTACATGTATTCGGATTTTCTGAACTTTCGAGTCATGTGATTTCTACAGTGAACATAAGTATTGTATTTGCGAAATATAAGACAATGATGGAAGCTATATTTTAGTTATTGATAAAAATTTAAAATTTATCGTTATATTAACGTTAACTTTAAAGATTAACAATAAAATAGGGTATATAAGCATGTGCTTTTATTGGGGAAGGTAAAAAATCAATACGGGTATATTCCGCAAAATACGGTAACGTATTTCTTCTAATTTGCTGTAAATTCAATATAAAAAATGCTTTGAAAGTTTCACAACTCAAAGAATAATACAAATCCTGATTATTATATCCTATCCAATTTTATAATCTTTGTAATTTTCTTTTCTAAAAATGATAAAATAATATTAATATTTGTTTTATTTTGGCATTCAGTTATCCGGTTCATGTGAAAATGCCACCAATCAATTCGTCTCATCAAGGTTGAATCGAATCGTGGCAATGGATGCCGAGATATTCTATTTACAAAGTTATCAATTTTTTTCTAGCATTAATTTTGATAAAAACCAAATTTTCATTGGCAATTGATTGCCAATCTGTGATTAATTATCAATGCGTTCCAAGTTCTGTAATGCAAATAGTAAAAGAAATTATCTTTCCAAAAATTCGTTGAAAATAATGACCTGCAACATAAAAGGCTGTATTTTGACATTAATAAAGTTATATTATATTACCGGGATTAGTATTTTAAATAAAAAAATTATTTATTTTGTTTTATTTTTGAATAATTTAGAAGGGGGTATATTTTGTTTATATCTTGTTTATATCGGCACTGTATCTATTCACTTAAAAATAACTTATAATTTAAAATTCTGCTTAGAAAACAGCTTTGATGCTCTAATATTGTAAAAATTTGCATTAGATACATGTAGTATCTTATTTGATTACCGTAATCCCCGAAACGTTTGTAGTTTTTAAATCGGGTATTTATTTTTCTATCGAAATATAGTTTAATTGATGTTACAGTATCGTGCTATTTATTACTTGATCACACATAAGACGCGATCAATACTGATCACACTATAGAAAGATGAGGCTAAAAATATTACGTGATAAATGGCACGTCCCTTATATAAGTCATACAATATCGATATATTTTATAAAATTACCAATTACATGTAAATAGTCAATCACTTAAATTTATTTTTTGTTTAACACTTGTATAACTATGTCCTTGCTGACTTGATTGAATAAATAAAAGTTTTTATAAAATTTTACATGTATAAAAACTGTTATATTCTTAAATTTTTAAATTATATGGAAATTAAGTTAAAATACATGTACCAGTCATAATTTACCCTTCCTAATTTGCTGAAAATTTCGCAACATAAAGAATATATGTAATACAAATCCTGATTTTCTATGTTTTATATCCTTATGGCAGTGTTATCATGCGGACCGGACCGGACCGTCCGTGTCCAGATCCGGAGAATCGGACGGACGCGGACATAAATATGATTATTTGTTCATTCATAAAATTAGTGCTTTTATATCCCAAGTGTGGCCATTAGAAAAAGTTATGTTTACCTTTATATTTATTATTTGTTTCAAACACTAAACCAAGCCATTTAGATATGTGCTGCTATGATTTTACTTTGCATGGTGAGTGAAAAAGGAGGTAAGTATGATTTTTTGCTTATATTATCTGAATGTTAAACCAAACCATTTACGTTTTACTTTACATGTCAGGATGCTATCATTTTTTATTATTAAATTATCCACATTAATCCAATTTTCATTTATTAAAAATGAAAAAGCTCAAGGTAATTATAATTCAGGAATCTATCACCGAATGAGTAATATTTCCAATTTCTGAAGAAAGCATTTTACCATTCTCTTCTTCCTCTATACCCGTAAATTTCTCAGTCTTCTCCATCAATATCTCGACCTATATATCTAAAAATTGGTCAAAATCTGTTTTCAAAGTACTTAAATTTGATAATTCATCATTATTACAGTCTTGATTCAAGATAAGATCTACAAATTCTTCAGGTTCTTGTTTAATTTTCTCTGGAATCTGAATTTTTTTTGGATTTTTGATTTTCCTTATTATTAATATTCGTTTGATCTTTAGCATTTTTTAAAAAATTTGGTGGTGATAATTCAACAAAATTTGATTTTTGCCAATGATTTCATGTAATAGTAGCACTTAATTTGTTTATATCAAGAACTTTTGATAACTAAAAAATAAAATTAATATTTAAATAGAAAAATTTCTACAATTTAAATTAAAAAAATACTTATTATTTACTAGTTTCTTTGATTTATTTATAAAAAGCCTATGTAATTCCAAAAATATTTTACTATAGCTACATTGATAAAAATTTTATATAATTAACAGATCACTAACTCTAATTTATTTTTTAAAGCTCTTATATAATTTCAGTATTATCAAATATCATCAAATTAATTATAAGTATTATTATTAAAAAGATAAAAAATCACTAAATTCATATAAAATATAAGTAAATTCCTTGCTGAATCAAGCTTTATAATAATAAATTAGATATTTATCTAGTCTTAAATAATTAATTACTAATTTATTCTTAAAATAAGTTATTTGATATTTTAGATATAATAATATGCTAAAATAAAAAAAACTACTTCTAATTATTCTATCTCTTGTCTAACTAAATCAAAATTCTTTCAGTAAGTTATAAGTTTATAATTATTTTAAAATTAAACTAAATATATAAGATCATATATAATTTATATTAATCTTGCATTATTATATTATAAAATATTTAATATTTTATAATAGATATATAAAATTTTTATAATTATTATTAAATTTATTTAAAATATATCTAAATTAATAATTTCAAAGATTTTATAATAAATAATTAAGTTCTTTTTTAGTTTATCATTAACTTTAAGTATATAAAAATTGAAAATTAATTATCAAAATCTAACAATAAAATTTATTAAGATTTAAATTTATAAATAATATAAAAAAATTGAATATATATTTATCTGTAAGATTTATTAAGTTTATAATAAACTTATTATTATATAATAACTATTTTATTGAGTCTTTGTTAGAATTATTATTTTACAATATCTTTTATATATTATTTTTTATTAATTTTATAATTTTATAATAAAATATTTATTATTTATATTTTTAAAATAAGAAATTAACTAAATTACTTGATTTATTATAGTTTTTAAATCTGTCAATTTTTTAAATACTTCTTTAATATATAAGTTAAATTAATAAATAAAACATGATAAGAATATGATATTTTTATAAGTTGGTCTTTGTAATCTTTTTAGTTATATTATATAATATATCAGAAAATTCACATAAAAAAGTCAAGATATATAATAATATAATTGAAATAGAATTTATACAGAAAACTAATTCAAGATAGACAAAATTATTATGTTTAAAACTTATTTTTTATTCATTATTATATGATTATTATTAAAAATACAGAACAAAAATAATATCTTTAAATAATAATTTAATATTATATAGAATTAATAATATAATAAATAGAAATTAATTATAAATAATATTTATATGATAGTATCTCCAGAAGATACTTATTAATAAATAAATAAAAAAATAAATAATTATAAATAAAATATATAAATATAATAATATGCTAGCTAAATTAATAAAATAAGAGAAAAGAGAAATTCTACTAAGAAAATTATCTATAACTAAAATAACTCAAATATATCATGTAACTTTCTTGATAAGATGAGATAATTTTTGTGATGTGATATATGATATAATAATAATTTGTAAATAAATATATAATATATTATAGTTTTAATTTTTATCTAAATAAATAAATTAAAAATAAATTAATATTAATAAAAAATAAATTATAATAAATAAAAAATTAAATAAAAATATCTGGATATTATATAAGAATTAGTATTATTTATTATAATTATAAAGATCTGTATATTCATATTTTTTAGTTTATTTATTAATTATGACTTTTATTTTTTTTATTATTTTTATATAAGATTCTTTTTTTATATTAATATTTATTACTTTCTATATATAAAATCATTCTTTTGAAATAATAATCATTATTTTTAATAATTATTTATTTTTCATATTTATTCACTTATCAAATATTAGAGTTATATTAATTAGATCTTTATAAAGTGCTTTTCATATTGCTTTATTTTCTTAAGAAATGATTATCTTCAAAATTTATCTATCAAGAGCTTAATAATTAGAAAGTTTAAAATGAGAATTCAAAAATTTAAATAATTCTTTTGTCTCAGATATATTAATTTAATATAAGATCTATTTACAGAATACTATTAATCTTATAAGAGAACTTTAAATTTTTCTCTGTTATGATATGATAAAAACCTAATAATATAATTATTAAGTTCATAGAAAGATGATCATATAATAATCTTGTGAACTAAAGATCTTGAAAATATGGATATGGTATCATATAATGAATTAGATATAATTTTATGAAAAAATTTTTTTTAATATATATCTGGTCATTTTTCTCTTGTTTGGAAAGCTTCAGAGTTCTTAAATAGACCGAAAATTTCCTTCTTTTGTTCTGGTGTTGTTTTTTCTGCGAAATATACACATTTTTTTAGATGCTGAATTATCCTATCCATTTTATTATATAGGAAAAAAATTTTTTTCCTCTCAATACTTTTGATACATGCTTTGCAATAGACTTTAAGGTTACTCTTATTGATTTTTTTCTTGGTTTTAATAATGTATTGGCCTAATGATATGGCTAGTGGCGGCATTATTAATATTTTTTTAAAAAAGACACATGAGTATAAAAATTCTATTAGTCGGGACACCGCGAACACGTACGTTGGACAATGTCCCTAATATGTCCGATCCAGCGCAAATCACATGGACACTGTCCGATGACAATCTAATGCACGGACACATGACGGACGCGGGACATTGGACAATCCATATATGGCGCGGGCATCGAAAATGTACAACACTGCCTTATGGCATATCTGTATCCAACTTTATAATCTTTGTAATTTTCTTCTTTAAAGATAATAATTTTTGTTTTATGATTCCGATTCATGTATATATGCCACCATTCGATTCCTCTGGTCAAGATGAATTAAATGATATCATTTATCTCTGAATTGAATTTCTTATTTGTAAAGTGATCAATTTTTTCCTAGCATTAATTTTGATGAAAATCAATAATGATAATCCTTTCTAGTTAATTGGTGTTTCATTACCAACGGATGTAAAGTTTGCCAGGTTTAGGACTAGTAAAATAAAAATTATCAGTTTATTTGAGTGATTTAGAAAGGGTACGTTACATATGACCTGTATTGTATAAGAAATACTCAAAGTCGATATAATGGATCGGGTAAATAAGCTAACCCCCCCCCCCCCCCCTCCATTTTTCAGTCAAAATCAGAATGTCCAGTTTTCTGCAAATGCAGAATTTGCAAATTCGCTGAATTTGCAGAATCCGTATAACGTGATTTGTGTGTTTTGCATAATGGTGATGCGATTTTACAATTTACATTATAAAATAATTTTTTACATATTTACAAGATATTTCAACGTTATAAAAGGCATGTATAATCAAAAGAATCTATTGAAAAATTAAATTTTAAAAAAAACCGGATGATCAAATTTAAAAATTCGGTGACTTTGGGGCACGAGATCTCGACATCCAACGGTCCGATTTGGACAAAATAGAACCATTACACTCAACTAAACTAGACGAATCCAATCCAATGGTTCTATTTTTGTCCAAATGGATGTCGAGACATCGCGTCCCAAAGTCACCGAATTTTTGATTTTTTTATAAATTTGACGTTTTTTTGATTGCAGAATTTGCGGCGAAATGCAGTAAACTGACACTCTAATCTGGGATGAAACAGTTTATTTAATTTAATAAATATAACCCCGAAAACAAACTGTCCCGAAATTTTTGCAAAAAATAGTAGTTTATTTTCATTATTTAAAGTATATATTTTTACTTTTAAGCTTTTATTAAGGTTTTTACAAATAAAGATATGTAACTTGTTACAATTAGATTCATCCTTATTTTAAAAACAAATTAAGAATTCACTTTAGTTAAATGTAATATTATCATTATAATTATATAAGAAATTAATGTTTTAATTTGATCTAAATAACTAATTATAAATTCGATTTTAATCAATTATGAAATAGATTTTTTCAATTGGAACAATATTTTGTAATTATTTTAAACCTATTATCTTTTAATATTTCTTAATTAAGCACGTTATATGAATCATAAAATTTGTTATTTTAGAACTACAGTTAAACCTCTCTAAGTGCACCCGCCCTAAGTGCACGTACTATATAACTCCTCTCTAAATGCACGGTATATTCTGGTCCCGGCTTATAAGAGCTCTATATATTTTGACTTCTATCAATGCACACTTTTTATTTTTTTTACTATGGTCCCAAGGGGGGTGCACTTAGGGAGGTGTAACTGTAAAATCAAAACAAAATAAAAGAATTCTGTTCATGAATTAGAATTTCAATTTTTAATTTATTTAAAATTTAAAATAATAATCAAATTTATTTGAATTTATATTTTATTAAAATTTTAAATATATTTAATAAATTTTATCTTTATAAAATTAAAGTATTTGAATAATTTTAATTATAAATGCTATATAATTCTATAAAAATTAATGAATATTTTTAGACAGAAATAAGATTTATAGTTTAATTAAAAATATTGTGAGCGTTTCATATAAAAAATTTAGAGTTTATTTTGATAAAACCAATGTTCAAGCTATATCTTTCACAAAAATGGTTTATAATTTCAAATATTGATTTTGGATGTGAATTATCTTAAATTTACAATTTTAATTAGCATCATTGAGTCATTCATTTCAAATGCTCAATACTAAAAATACTTGGGTTCCCAAAGTCATTTGGAACATTTGATAATACTGACGTATCTTAGTAATGATTATTATATCGAGCTTTATAATTATATAAGTAGTTTATTGTTGAACTGAGACGAATTTAAAATAGTAAACGAATGTGAAATAATATATGTCAGCGCCCTAATTTGTTTAACGTTAAAATTGACAAATTCAATTGATTTAAAACTAGATTACAAAATTTATATCCGCCACTTTTTAGTCACTCCCATTCGTGAGTCTAACCTCAGAACGCATATATTTGTGATGTGGTTTGTATACATTTCCCGCCGTTTTAATTTCAAAGTATTCCACTTCGGCGTAATCCTTTTTTAACACGTCATCTTGAAGCATGCCAGATAATTCATCAACAGAATCAAAAGAATCATCATCACTAATTTTTTTTGAATGTCTCTTCTCGAAATTAAATGCTATCGTGGTTGCTGAATCGCGATATTCTGAATGTGGTAGGACTGTATCGAGATCTGTTAATTGTTGTTGATGTTTTCTGTAGGAGCGTTTTGCTATTTTATAGACAACATAAGTTGCCCAAAGCTGTGTGAGGAATAGAATGAATGCACCTATTGGGAATATAACATTCCACCCGTCACAGATTTTCAGATGGTCTAATTAAGAGATTGATCAGCGTTTTGAACGAATGCTAGCCGAATTTAGAAATGATTAAACTTTCTTTTAGTCACGTACCTTTATTTGGAAGCATATCTTGTGCTAAACGTAATGGAAATAAAAAAAGTCAGCATTGTTTTTTCAGTTAATTTATCGACAGATATAGTTCCAAGCATACCCCAAAATACAAAGCACCAGGCCAGTGTGCCTACTTTGACAATGAAAACTTGTATGGAGGAAAATAATAGTACATCGGATGCGTATTTTGGCTTTATTCGATAAAAAAGTAGACCGAGGAAGGTACTTTGTTCCGTTGTTGCTTGAAATAATAGTAAGATGGCATGAGGATAAACTGTAAGTCCGCTAATTTTTAATAAGGGACAATTTTGATTAATAAAAAGTTATAAGTCGTGAAAACAGGATAATTCTTAAATGAGATTACCCGCTCACTATAACGTAAATACTCAATGACATCATGACCATTGTTGTCAGATGATGAGCTATGAGTGGTCTTCGCATGGTTGTACGATATAAAAGTTCAAATATGTATCTTTTTACAAGTAAATCGAAAAGTTTAGTGAGAATCGAAACCCATAATTGTGCCCAGGAACAATAAAGCAACTTACAAATCACAGATTAATAAGGCAACAACTTGGCCTAACTTATAATCACGTAAACTAATTTCTTTATTGATTATGAGATTGTACATCGCAAGCAAGATGCAGAGACCAACGGTTGTAACAAAGATCTCGAGGATGTATGTGGTGCAGTTGCGAAGATGCTCTATTGACATATCTGGACTATACTTTTTGAGTGCTCGTTCGATGATTTTTGCAGAGAAATATAATATCATGAGATAGAATACGTGATTAGTCGTGTAGATGAAGATGGTGGTTTGATTAACTGTTTTAAGAAATAGAAAGAGGTTATTTTCATCTTTTTTTTATAATAAAATGATCAATAATGGATTAATTACTTTGTTCTTGATGAATTTTTATAAATTCTTCTATCTGATATAGTGATGAATTTCTTAAAGATTCGGGAAGAAGCGTAAACATGGATGCAGGGAGAACTTCAGTGTTATTAGACATTTTCAATATGATTATATCTTTATAGATCGATTTTTTGAATGGTTTTATCGTTTTCGTTTTAACCGAAAAATAAACGTAATTCAAAGCTGAATATTTATAATTGTATTATTAACACAAGAAAAAAATAAAGCGTTGAGTGAATTCATTTCTGACGCGTATTTTCGTGTCGAGAAAGTATAGAGATATTTACGTATACATGCACACACAATGAGTTATTTTTGATAGTATCAATTTGCAACACCATCTACCCGAGTTGCATCTTTGTTATTATTCGGATATCGCCGGAAAAGTCAATTTTTTTTAATTACTATTCTTACTATTATTAAAATGCAAAAATCACACCGTAACCTGGCATTTGTGGGAAAATTAAATGAGACATATACATATGAATCTATTTTTTCTTCACAATGCGAATGAAACAAAGATAATTTTAAGCTTAAGATTGATCTTATTGTTTCAAAGTTTTGGTTGAAAGAAAAAAAAAGGAAATTTCATACAAGTTTGCTCAAAAAAATTGTATTCAGCCCAATAGTCTGTGTATTAAAGCTTAAATTTGTTCAGCGCTAAATGAACTGCAGTTAGTTTGCAGTGCATTAACATAGATGAGATGCATGTTAATATGTATATGATCAAGTTCTTCGATATTGGGGAAGTCAGTAGCGAGGGACAAACTCTTCTAATAATAAATTCATCCCTTTTTTTCTCTTTACTTCTCCACATATAAAGACCCTTTTAGTAAACTTACGATCAAATTTGAAGTACAATGGATCAGGGTCTCTCGGCGACAATTAAAAAGAAAATTAACTCGATTCTAAAGAAGGTGAATTTAATTCAATTACCACCGTTGATAAGAGATTATACTCACGAACGAATAGATGAAGTCTTGAAAATGCGAAATAGAAATTGTAACCTTCGTCTTTAAGATTCTCAATTTTTAACATTCAATATTGAAAGAATTTACAATTTAATGTTTCAATTCAAACACGACAATATCTTCAATTACATGACCATTTTTTAGAGCAAGGCCACACGTTTTTCTTAATGTCACGAAAGAATAACAAATCTCTTTCAACATAATATCTCTCTTTACTTCATCTACAGGATTGTCACTACATATGTATGTACTCGAAGTTCTTTGCCATCGCAAAATGTGTCTTTGTTTTTGCATTTTGCATTTTTGTATCGCGCACGATTACTGTACCACTGATTGTGCATCATTCCACCACAATCTGGATAGTAACCTATCATAGAGTTTAAGACACTTTCCATTTTGCTAGAACTCTAACTTTTATTTGATTCGTATTTGCATTTATATCATTCTGCTGGCAGTAATCTTTTCGTTTCAAGTTACCACATAACAATTGACCTGCTCCGTTATCGAATAAAACCGTCTACCGTTACCAACATTCTTCTTCGCCGCTATTCAAGTTTTTGTTGCAAACTGGTCATGTTTACTTGGAGTTACCGTTACGTGTTTTTGGGAATAATTATCAGTAAAACTTGATATAGATAAACACTCGAATTTTCAGAGTTGCACACACATACGTACATGTATAACGAAATGATATTTTTGTTCACTACGTGTTGCCAAATAAGGTAAAATGCATGCAAGCTTTTTTTTTTACGTTAACGTTAAGACTTAGTAACACTCATCCAACCAGTGGGACACATTATCCTTGAACAAAACTATGGTCTATTTATGCATGGAAATTACGCGCAAATTCCCAAAACCAAAATCTACGAATAAATAAAATAGCACATAAATTAAAAATAGAACTTTTTTATTCTTCTACCAGCATTTTTGAAGTAGCTAGCAGATTTTTTTTAGAAATTACATGGTAAAACGTTATGTTCTCAAATTATTGTTCTTCCTCCTTTGTTTTAAATCGTATAGTTATATGCTTGACATGAAAGATAAAAGTTAACTTTTATCTATAGACACAGAGAGTTATGAGAACAATAAAGAATCAATTTCGCAATAGATTTATTTAAATAAAGACATTGTAAACTTATTTTTATTGTGTGCACAAGTGGTCTTTAGGGGAGTACAATATCACTCAACACACCAATTAATAATTAATCAGTCCACGATATATCCCCGATATTTTTGTGTCTATTAATTAGAGTTGTAGGTAAACAATGTTTGAATTCTATTTTTTTTTGATAATACAGTATCATATACATGTATTTTTTAATTTATTCAAGCGTTCGATTCTTATTAAAGTTTATCTCTTCGCAAAGAGAACCAATCATATGCCTAGTCAATAAATGAGAATATTCAGGTACATGTAATTGTTTATTGCGTGATTTTTGCTTGGCTAGGTCATGTTAATTATGCTGTCTTTGTAATACCTAAACTTTGTTTCAAAAAATACATGTATGTACATGTAATAATTTAAGTCCGGAAAAAAGCCTAGTTAGGGATCAATATTGATGTATTTTTACAAACTGGGTTTTTTATTTAGTCTAACAAGAAAAATGTCATCCAAAAAGCATGTGTTATCACGAAAGCATTTGAATCCCTTGTTTCTAAGTTACACAATACAGTCGGAAGATGCGATGGAAAATAACGATAATGTTTATTCCTAGTGTCTTTATTTTTATTGCAAAGTTACGTGTATCAATTACATTGAGAAAAATAAATTTGTTCACGAAGAAAATTCCTATGTTATGGATCAAAAAGGTTTTTTGATGACAAAAAATGATCGTTTTTGTTATGTTTAAGTACATTATGCATTGTTACTTTGTACGGGTCTTGTCTCATTAAAGTTTATTGAACTTAAATATTAAAAAGACACTACTTTGTAATTCCTTATGTAAAATATCTGTTCATTCGAAGGGTGTGTTAGTTGTTTAAATGAGAGGTGAAAAATTATCATTGTAAACATAATAATTTGTTTCCAACGTCATGTCAATATCGGATGGAAAAATTTTGATTTTCGTTTTTAATATAAAAAAGGTCGACTTCGAAATCAATCTTTTGATTAAAAAAACCTTTGGGCTATATTGCTCTGAGCGAATTACACACACGATATAGACTAGCTCATGAACTTGCCAAATTTTTCAAAATGATCCTTGAAACCTTTTTGGCATTTACAAGGAAATGATTAAATAAACCAATCAGAACAATAAAGAACAACGTGAAAAATTGTGATCCTATTGTAGCAACAGTAACATATTTAATCAAATCCCGTGATATTTGACACTTTAATAATTATCTAATCTAACGAAGCTAGTTAATTTTCATTGAAGCGAAAATTTTTTGTCCAATATGACGGAAATCGAAGCAGAGACGCAAAAAATAACACATAAATTATTGGCTTTCGAATTAGGAATTTGAAAATCGCTTTAGTATATTTAATTGTTCACCTGACAGTTTTAGAAGATTAGACATAAATTTTAGCTTCATTACCTCCTTGCCAGATGACAAGGAAATCTTTGAGCTGCGTGTCTATATGCGTTCAGTTGGAGTTATAGTTCCTCTGGCGCATCATACACTGTCAATCGCTATTGTATCTCCTCATGACAAGATCAGTCAAATAAAATAAGAATGTAAATTGCATATGAGTATTCGAAAAATTGTTTCATTTCTTATACTAACCGATTTTTTTTCGCAACAAACAATTAGTATACTATAACAAAAGGAAATTACAATCCAAACTAGTTAATTGGTTGGGTGTTTTTAATTGTTTTATATAGTTTAAGCTAAACAAATAAAATATTTTTGTTTTAAGTTGGTTTTTTTTAACAAACATAAAAAATTGTAACTTCCAAAGAAACATTTTTCGTCGTATTTTATATCAAATTTTATTGTAGTCTTTTGCGCTAGTTTTAATGCTGCATCTTTTTAAACTCAATATGCCTAAACCTTCTAAACGTAAATTACAACTAAAAGTTGCACGCAAATAACTTGACAAGAAGCACAAGTTGAATCAACGTCAAATTGTTTTTATTAATTAAATAATTAATCATCTAAAAAAGCACCCGAACATGCACTTCAAAAAATGCCTGTATGATTCAATACTTAAAATATAGACGTAATGATAAAGAGAACAATATCATAAATATCTACTATTAATTTTATTTTACCTGACATAGGTTTGATTAATTAATACTCTAATCCCTGACGTTTTTAATTAAGGTTTGACTTAAACATCTGTTTTCCGTTCGACCTTCGGATTTGTTTTGAGTTTCGTCGGATGTATCGTATCACGCTTAACGGATCCCCTAATTTGGAAACACTGAGATCATATGGTTTATCGGATAGCGATAGCCTGTAAATTTAATAAAACAACTGACTCTATTTTTATATACGGTAGTTAATGTTGTCTAAAAAGATTATCGAGACAGACGATCATTATTAGCTTCTTAATATTTTATTCTTGCTAGCTTAGGTTACAAGCTTATCCACAGATTAAATACCGAATCTATATTAAAACCTTATTATTAGACGCATTACACCGGGAGATTTGACTTTTCAGTATCAGTCAAAATGGGCAACAAGAAACCTTATTGTTAGTTGATTGAGAAAAGCACGCATAGTTAGCAATAACAAAATGGGTATGATTTTTTTTGTAAAAACCTCGGAAGTTCGACCATTTGATAGATAATACACGGATTTTTGAAATCTTTAACAGAAAGGTAATGGTACTCTATCACAATGCAAAGATTTAACTATTTACGTTGTTTTTTTTGGAAATTAATTTCTTTTTGTAAAGTTCTTAAATACATCTATGCGCTGTGATCCTGAAAAATTAATCATGAGCGCCAAAAACTATTTAATAACAGAGAAGCGAGCATCTGAACTAATAAAGCCCAGATGAAGCAAATTTATTGAGGCTGAGAAATGAAGCAAAACGAAAGATTTTAGACTTTTGGGTGAATAACCTTCACGTAGGATATTGAACGTGCAAGAAAAGACAATTAACAACATTATTACAAGGAATTTATATCATTAAATATCAGATCAAATTATTTTGTACGCGAAAAAATTAGAACGTTTCTTTATAAAATGTCAAGACCAGATTGACATTAATTTGTCTTTATTTACAAAAATTACTACATGTATTATTATGCGACTGATGAATCATTGGCAAAAAAGTCCAATAATTAAACCTTACCATTAATTAATGGCGCTTGTTTTACCCACATTCCAGTCCCAATTTCTTTTAATATAAAATGTGCAACATCTGCTCTTGATACCTTCTTAAATACGATTTCATCATTATCAAGTAACAGGTATTTTTTCGTTAATTTTCCATTCGATAGACCACCAACCCTAATTATTGTCCAATCCAAAAACTCGGAGTTTTCCATAATCAATTTCTCTTGCACCTTTTTATCATGATACACTTTATTGGACAATAATCGCGTAAAAAAAGAATCGATAGTCGGAGTACCGTGACATCGAACGATAATTAATCGTTTTACGTCAAACTTTACCATGCTCTCGTTTATAAGTCGTTGTGCGCGGGAATTTAGTTTGATGTCCGAGGTCCATAACGTTCTTGGGCTAAGGCAATTTATTACCGCGTCTTGTCCTTCGATTACTCGATCCAAGTCTATGCGTGAGAAAATCGAACCGACACATATTACGAGGTTTGGATCTTTTAATTGTCGACGAGAGAATGGTAAAGATCTGTCATTTCGCACGAGTATTGTTACATGATATGAAGCGTCTAAAGCTTGCTGTACTACTTGGCTACCAAGACGACCACTCGCGCCAAGAACTAGATTTTTTGAGAAGATGATATAAGGTTAGATTTCTTGTCGTCTTTACAACAATTTTCATAAACACATACCAAGGATATGTTTTCCACGCCTCATGCTAGGCATATCTTCTTCTTCTTGAGTTAAAAAGGCTAGAATGTTGTATGATGATATAGGTAAAGATGAATGTTTGACCGCATTAATCACATTAGATTGACCAAAATTATTCGAGCTCATATTCGATCTATATTCTTAGAGAATGTATTTATTTATTGTATAATTCAACAAATAAGTTTGATTGAAAGAACGAATAATTTAAAGATGCAATCAAACAAACGGCGTCGCAAAAAGAAAACGTAATTATTGAACCCGCTAAAAAAAACAAGCGTGATATTTATATTTGGACCAGAACCCGGAATGTCAAACAGTTATTCGAGAGATCTGAATGAAAAATGAACTAATGTTCTTTGATTGTCAATTTTTATATAAATGAAAAATGAACTAATATTCTATTTTATATAAATGAAAAAATGAACTAATATTCTTTGATTGTCAATTTTATATGAAAAATATAAAATGATATGAAGGGTGGTGCATTACATTCACGTGGCAATAATATAAACGTCATATGTAACCATGAGAGAATAATATAATTACTAAGCATGTCATGTTATTACTAAGGTTATTCTTATACATGTCTAAAAGCACCGAAAATCTTGTCTGAAATCATAATTCGGAAAAACTAACCTAGGCAAAGAAAAGAAAGTATTCATCCGTAAATGCATTTATTTTTCTCTGTTTAATGTGCATTTGCGGTAATTAATTTCGAATAGTATTCCCATTGATTTTCTATGTGATAGTCTAATAAATTGATTTGTTCGTGAGTGAGGGGTTTACTCGTAAATTTTTCGGAGTCACGAATTTCTTTATTCAGAAAACAGAGAAAAACCTGGAGACGTCAAACAAGATAAAAATATCAAGTTCCAAACCGGCAATCCTTTCTATTGTTCTCCATTAGCATGATTCCTGATTTTGTGCATTATTATTGTCATTGTAATATAAGGTATTTAGCATAAGCAATTTAAATGAAAAAGAATAAGGGTCTAAACTTAGAATCCGTCAACAAGAATGTTCTATAAAAATCTCCATTTATGTCTTATTTATCAATTTATTGATATGGGTCTAAATTTAGAATGAATATTCTATAATGAAAAAAAAATGTTTTATTTATCAATTTATTGTTACGGGTTCTTTTCTCCGATCCCGTAGTTATTAAATAAGAATTTCGCGAATCTTAAATTACTACATGTAATTTATCGACTTTTGAAATTATGTATGATTTGATTAATCAAAGTGCAAATTTATTGTGAAACTTTTTGGGAACAAACTAAAAAAAAAGTTTATGCATAAACTTTGTTTTCTATAAAGTCAAACGTAAAACCCTTGCATAACTGAAATTTATTAACAGATTTTCAAATTTTCCATTTAAAATTTGTATTGGATAAAAAAATTATTAGTTTTCTTTTTAGGGAAGTGTCACAAATTTGTGAGGTTTTTCTAATTTAATTTGTGATCATTAAAAATTTTCGAATTGCATATTTATTTGTTTGCGGAATTTCCATAGGTTACCGTAATTGGATAGGTACATATGCCAAAGAAAATTCCCCGATAATTTATTGTGACAGATCTTTATTATATGATGAAATAATATTTTATGATTTTATCACTTTAATTAGTATTAATTTTTTTACGCCGAAAATATCACGTGTTCATTTCTTATTGGCTGAACCCATCATGATTGGTTTCCCACATGAAGCATAATTTACATATTAACCTATATATCACATTTTTATTGGCTTGCAACAGATGACTAAAAATTCGTTTCTGTGAAGAAATGCATTTTAATGCACTTGCTAATATTAATATTTCCCCGATCGGCGCTAAATTTAACCGTCTTTAACGTGACATAATCACTTGTGTAATTTGATATTTGATTAGTTATGCATGCAGGTATAAAACTTGTTTTGAAAAGTCGATAAAATGGGGGATGTCCGATATATGTACAATTCTGTTTTGGTTGATCCCCGTTGATTATAGAAGGTCGACTTTCACTCACAAAATGCAAAGTACATGTACATAACCATTTTATGAATTTCATGCACACGCACTTGTTCTTGAAGATTTGAGCATAATCAGATGCTACACATACATGTACACGTTATTCGGAATTTGATAACCAGATGATTCATTCTTCCATAATAGAGTTGAGAACTTTTGCATCTATTGTTGTTAGAAAGGATGTAATAGTACCGTAGCATTTTTACTATAGTGAAACCTTTGTATAAGCAAACAAAATCGAAATTCTTGTTTGCTATACATCTCTCGTAAGCGCACATAACACACACATGCTTGACTTTCGCTTAGCTAATCCAAACATGGCTTTTTTCTGCCTACAAAAATTAAAGTTTCTTCTTTTTGACATATTCATGCAGTTCGCAGTAAAGAATTAACGTTAACATTCTGAACTTTTTGGGTAATTTCTCAGAAGATTATTACATAATTTCAATAGGCGGGTTTTCCTTAGAACTAATTGTATTACGAACATAATTACGTACGTGCGTACATTTTCACCACTAAAAAAAATCTCCGGTTACCAATAGATTAAAAACATCAAGAATTTAATTATATCGATATGCAACTTCTCAGCTTCGGAAACAATATTGCCGAAAAATCATCGAAATCGTAGTTGTCCGATCAACCATTATAAATAGAGAACAGCCCTAAATCTTCCCCTCAGCTCAGAATAATTCGAAAAATTAAGCGACATTAAATCTTACATTTTGACACTTTATCTTGTTAAACATAAGAGAGAAATCAAGTAGATAAAGTCAAACTGATTTTTAATAATACAAATTCCAATTATGTTTTCAAACCTTGAAGGACCATTACCGAGTGCAATGCGAGGAAAACATTTACTAGGTAATTAAAAGAATAATAAAAAAACCTTTGATTTAATGGCCAAGGAAGTGCGTAAATCTAATATTGATCGTTGCTATCTTTAGTGCTTGGCGCATATAGTCGTCTTGGAAGTCAAGTTGTATGTCAAGCGCTTGAGGCATCATATCACGTTACGGCATTGGTTCAAACCGACAAATCGTTGCCATTCACTCGTGCACAGCTACAAAACCCAAATTTGGTGATTTGTGTCGGTTCGACTTTATCACGAAAAGATCTTGAAAAAGTTGTCGAAGGCAAAGATGCGATAATAAACTGTCTTTACCCTAGTAATAAACCATGGAAAAACAACAATCCCAATCTACTTTCCACTACGCAAAAACTATTGAACGAAGTCATGATTGCACATGGTGTCAAACGGCTAATTGTGGTTCGACTTAAAACAGAAGGCTTAACTGTGAATAAATCATGGTCGTGGATATTCACCGAAAACAAAACCCAAAATGATAAAGAGCAACAAGAGAAATTGATTATGGAAAATTCGGAAAACATAGATTGGACAATAATTAACGTTGGAAAATTGTCAAACGGAAAACTTACGGAAAATTATTCGCTCGAAGGGGACGAAGGAGAAGCAAACAAAGCTGTTCAAAAGAAAATTTCGAGAGCTGATGTAGCACATTTTATCCTTCAAGAAATTGGATTCGGGAAGTGGATTAAACGTACCCCATTGATACATGGCGAAGAGTAATTTTATATCGTACGATAGAATCGTTCATATAAGCACCTGTACATAAATTCTTTCAAGTTTTTTTTTTATTTTTTCCTTTGACTTCGTCAGCATGGCTTCACAATCTAAATAATTTTAACAGCATAGAAGACAATTGCAATCCTCATAAAATAGGTTTCCCATTAAATTATTTCCAAGATTGATTCATATTTTTAATACGCAAACTTTGAAATTCCTATATCGAAGCGCAGCATCAAAGTATTGTTTCTGCTGTTTTTTTCGCATTTTGCGCAACCTATCCATCTTGCCCGACTCGCTCTAAACTTTGGCCAAAGTATATTGTCATAGAAAGAATAAAATAGATATAATTTCCAAGCAATACTTAGACACGAAGAGGACTCGCTGCATTGTCCACCAACATAGCTCTTGTCGATTCTCGGAAATTTGATAGTTGACTAATTTCTCTTGCTGGTTCAAGTGCGACATCCCTATTTTCAAAACAATGTGCAGCTATAAATTTTGATTCTTACTTTATCAAAATCAGCTCCCCACGAAAATTTAAGCAAATGAATCTCAAAAAAACAAAAATCAACTCTCCACGAAAATTTTAAGCAAATGAATTCCAAAAAACAAATCAACACATTACGCCATTTTCGCTTTCTCACATTGGATGACAAAAGCATAAAGCTAACTCTTATAAGTTTGTTGGCCAATTACCCTTTTTATATACACGTGCAACGCACATCCCGTGAACTACAACATTATTTGGTTGGCTCATTTTCTAACAAAGTTTGACATAAAATAAAGAATGCAAAATTTATATTTAAAGATGGCCCCTTTAAGAACAACCTCTCTCTATCGGGCCAGTTTTTTATGGCCAACCTCTTTTTATTTATGTTATCGCTCATTATATTAACTTCAAAAATTGTCATGGAATAAATTTATCAATTCTTTGGTATTTATGATCCTATTCAATTATAATTCGTTTTTACTACTTTTTGTATTAGAAATCAAAAATAGTTCTAATAGATTCCTAGAATTGTTTTTTGAATTACTTTTTTTTTTCAAAAACTGCATATTTCAAAATATTAAGTTGTACCCTTGATTTCAACTCTGATTTGGATCATCTAAAATTAGTACGTTACAGGTTTCGAACAGGAATTTTCGTATTATCCTATAATATAGGAGAATACAAAAATACAAACAAAAATTTTTCACGTAAAAGGGATTTTTCTGAACAGATAGACAATCGAACAAACGAAAAAAATAAACAAAAGCTAATTTTTAAAAAATGTAAAATACATACAAGAATGTGTGTGTGTATATATATATATATATTACACGCGTCTTTGGTTAATAGTTCGCCGTGTGTTGAAAGTGTTCATCCATCTTCTTCCTTCTATACTAATTCCTTGTACGAAAGTGCAAAGGTTAAGTTGTTATTAGAGATAAAGTTTATATTCTTTTGAGATGGATCTTCTCACGACACGTTCGAGCATCTTGAAGCGACTCGAAAACGACACTAGTAGTAACTATAATTATTTACCTTCCGATAAATATACGCAATTTTCACCAACAGCCACCATGAATTCTTCTTCTTTTACTAATGACAACGACATACCAAAAGATGATTCAACACCCCAACAGTTATCTTCCTGGATCATCGCTTTAATAGTCACGATTTCATTCGTTTTCTTTTTACTCTTGCTCAGTTGTCTTTATTGCTTGTTTCGTCAATATCGTATTCAAGTGAATAATAAAAAGCGTCGTCGCAATGACTCAAATTTAATTCCATTCGCAGTGCTTTCCAGAACAGAAATGACAACGAAAAATCATAACAACAGTATTAGCAGTAGCGTCAACAATAAGTCAAACGCAAATTCAGTATTCTCCGTAACTCATATTTCGTCTCAAGTAGAAAAACCAAAGAAAGGTCTTGGAATACGTCTAAAGAAACTTACACCGCTTTATCTTTTATCAAAAGAGAAACGCGTGAAAACCTACCCTGGTAATGATCCTCTGATCAATATGAATGACGCGACCTACTGTAACAACATTCTCGTGTCATCACCCCCTTCGAATAATAATAATTTGGAAGACATCAAGCATCAAAAAAAAACATATTCTCCAGGTTCTACCATTTATAGCATTAATAAGAATACCAATTCCGCTGGTAACAATAAGATCCTCAGCTGCATCTCAAAGCCTGGTAACACCAATAAGAGTGGTATTCGTCCAAGTGTAAGTTTCGCCGAATTACCTGAAGTAACCTTAATTCGTGATCGTCAAAGTATAAATCAACGACAAAGTAGATTCATCAAACCACAATTTCGTGAATCGATCGAGTCTGAAAGAGAGGAATATGAGAACGATGATAATGATGACGAATCTTTAGATGACTTCTGCGATGATAGCGTACCAACCATTACTTTGAAAGATATTTTGAATATGATTAATTGCGATAATAGTATTGCTAGAGAGTTATAAACTGGCATTCATACAAATTTATAGTCAATACATCGTTTTTATAACTTTAATTTCGCCTATTGAAAGTCTTTAGACAGGCAGATGCGTATAAAATCAATAACAGACTTAATTTCTAACATATCGAATACTTTATAGCCAAGTCAAATATTTATTCAATTTGATAATTTATTGACGGAGACGATTTATATTATAACCAAATAAGAAATAAGCATGCAAAACTTTCTAGATTAATACATGTACTATCTAATTCCCAAATTTCGGTAAAGTAAATGCAAATCGATACTAGAGGAATAACGTTACACCTTCCATGATCTACATATTACACATCCAATCAAATTCCAAACCCCATGTTCTTGATGCGAAAAAGTTCATCAAGACCTTCAATTCCTTCATCCTCTAATATGTTCTTCAACTTCAACTCATCAACAGCTTCACTCCAATTCGTAACGCAACAGCGCAAACTTGCAGCTTTCAAATCATAATCATTATATTTCCTCGCAAGCATATATAGTGAATCCCAATTTTCTTTATTAACGGATTCCTTCAAACGTTTGCTGACCACCGCCAGAAGTTCGGGAATAACATGGATGTGTGCCTCAGAATATATCTCGGAAAGAATATTTTGATTTGAAATAGTTTCCGGCAAATTTTTAATATAAAGAAATTGTATAAGCGCGTAAAACGCTTCAAAGGAAACATGAGACACGGAAATTTGTTTCGCTTTCGATTCTTCCCACTCTCCGTTAAACATCTTATCGAAATAATGAGAATTCGCGGCAAGGATCAATTTATGAGCATAGATTTTGTTGCCGTGCTCAAATATGAACTCGATGTCAGCAAATTTTTGATTATTGAAATGGTTTGCAATGTAGATTTCAGACTCAGCTTGAAGGTTGCTTTGGTGATTTTTGGGATAAATGGTCAATTTTAACTTTATCGAGGACACACAAGTTTCCATGATAATGGTCTCGTAATGCGGTTCTCCTGCAAGTTCAAAACATTGTTCTTGTTTTTTGATAGTTCCCAGCATTACATTTGTGTCTCCGTCAAAAGCTTTTATTTCATATGATAACTCTCTTGAAAAAATGTTGTGATTGATCTCCTCAGAAGTGCGGATTGGTTCAAGAGCGATCCTTATTTCATTGGCTACATATTCTTCAACGAAATACGGGTAGTTTCTCGCCAAAATCCTCCATAATGTGACTTGTTTGCTGTCACTTCCGTCATCCACGTAGAAAATATCACTTTGTATTCTGGGTTTTAGGGTGTTTGGAATTGTCCAAGTGAATTTTGTGATTCCATTCGTTTGTTGAGGTTCTTTGAAGAGCGACATTCCTTGAGGTGTTGAATAAAGATTTTGTATTTATTCACGGAAATTTTTTGCACTCGCCAAAATATTCTATATAAAACGCGAGAATTTGGGGGAAAGTCGCCGGAGAAAGATAAAAATATCACGGAGTTGAAGAGCATTAATATTCACTCATGAATATTCACTATTACAGAATAGGTGAGTATGCAGAGAGCAGGAAATGC